ATTGTAGTCAAATACTGCTGTTTATCAGGGTTTACAGCAGGGGTGCCCAACCCTGCTCCTGCCGATCGACTGTCCTACACAGTTTATCTACAACCCTAATCAAACACACCTGAAGCAACCAATTAAATTCTTCAGGTTCACGTGAAAATTAAAGGCAGGTGTGTTTGATATTTAAATATTTAAAATATTGTATGTTTAAAATATTTTTCTATTTCTTTTGTAGTCCTTTGAGATTGCTGGATTTTTAAACATAATTCTACAATGATTTTTTTAGAGACTGCAGCCTTTGATTGAACGCATTGCTTTCACTTAAACTGCTACTTATTCATCCAAAGAGTCTGCGTGCCAATGAAATATTCTAGAGCCGAGCAAAAATACAATGACATATATTCACTATAAAATGATTTTAATATCTTTTCATTCATGGAAATGAATAAAAATAATGACTGATTTATGAATCAGACTCCATTAGCGAAGGAGTTAATCAATGATCATGCAGTGGTATATTGAGACACTACCCTGCATATATTTGAGGTTTTTAGAGGTTGTCCAAAATGGAAGGATTTTAATGCTGAGAGCAGTTAGAAATGGATGTTTTGAATAACTGTTTGGAGTTAAAGGTTAGCGAGTTGTCCCTGCTGTTCCCTTGCCCTCTCCTCGGCCCTGCAGCCACTGACCTGCTGAGCAGTGATCTGTGAAATTGCCTCTCTTCGCTGTCATACGTGCAACTATTCACAACCCCCAAGGCCAGAGTACATGCGGCCATATGGACAGTGACATGGCTATCAGTTTACCCTTCAAAAATCTGTACGATGCTTAGTTAAAATTAAAGGTCCCATTTTTCATGTTTTTTTGAAGCTTTGAATGTGTTTACAGTGTGCAATATAACATTTGTCCATGTTTCGTGTGTAAAAAAAAAACAGTATTTGGAATTGCGAAGAACGGGACCTTTAAGATATTTAAGTATAAACAGCAAGGGTTTTGTAAATTATTACAAAAATAATATCTGATAATATACAAAAGTGTGAATTCAGTTTTTATGTACGAATATGTCAAATAGCTTGATCAGAAGTTTTACATGTACTTACAGTAGAAATAAAAGTAAATTAAAGCTGCAAGCAGCATTTAGCGGGGTTCAAGCAGTTTAGGCCTTGAAGGCCTTTAAGCACAAAAGCATCAAAAGACATTAAGTTTTAAGTTTCAATAATGGCAATTTACCATAGGGTATATATTGTTTTTAACATTTTTAACAATTATAGCGCCACCTATAGTCCGATCTCCATGAAACTTTGCATGCTTGTTGAATAAGCTATGACACATGTGCTCATCAATTTTTGTGAAGTTCTGACTTTTCCTTTAGGATTTATAGGCTTTTGGGTGCATTTTGTCATGTCCCCTTTTGTAAATGACCCTGTTATAGCAAAACAAAAGACAAAGTTCAACTTTTTTTTGATAATTATTGATCTAGAGAGTCCAGAGAATTATCCTAGACTGGTCTGGTTCCGATCGAGCAAAAAACCAGGGACTAGTTTGCAAAAGTAGGTTTTTAACATATTCGTGAATATTTAACGAACGATTTGATTTACAGCAATGGTTCTTGAGGCAAAGTTGTTCATCATGAGGAGATCTATCAAATGATATGCATTTTGTGGGGATATGCGCAACACCACGTGATTACAGAGCCATAAAACTCGTTAGCGCCAAATAGTGGCCGATTTTTTTAAAAATTCTTACAGACCTCTAGGGCCATGAGTCGAACATGCCCATCGAGTTTCATTCCGATCGGCCTCCGTTAACCTTGTCTCATAGGTGCTCAAACTTCATTGGCCGATGGCGGCCATGTTTTTTTACATACGCCAATGTCCTCATAGATATACATGGGGCCTTGGTCCAAGACACTGCATACCAATTTTCAAGTCAATCGGACTAACGGTCATGTGGTCATAGCCCTTTTTATGTTTTTTTCATGTTATAGCGCCACCTAGTGTTCAATCGTCGCTATTTTTTTACTGTGACCTCGAATTGAACTCGTACACATGTGTACCGAGTTTGGTGAAGATATCTCATTTACTTCTTGAGTTATAGCCAATTTAGTAAAATAGGCTCCTCCCACAACGTTTATTTTGCTTCCCCTAGCGAACGGAAATAGAAATTTCAACATTTTTTTTGATAATTATTGATTGTCAGACTCCAGAGAACATTTCTGCACTGGTTTGGTTCCGATCGGGCAAAAACCAGGGACTAGTTCGCAAAAGTAGTTTTTCGACAAAATTGAAAATGGCGGAAAAATTTCCATACCGGAAATGAAATCGGAGATATACGTTTTTTTCGTCAGGTGACCAGCTTTCCAATGATATAAGACACTTGAGTGTACGACTTACGGTCTAGGAGTTATGAGCCGTTTCGCGCAATTGGTCGCTATAGCGCCACCTATGGGCCAATCGGGCTCATAATTTGATAACCTCTCCTCGATTTTTGTACTACCATCTGACAAAGTTTCAGAGCTCTAGCACTTACGGTTTGGGCTGCACGATGCGTTTTAGGGGAGAATAATAATAATAATAATAATAAAAATCAATACAATTACAATAGGGTTTCAGCACTTCGTGCTTGAACCCCTAATTAAGCATAATTACATGCAACTAATCCTAAACCAAACCCTTATCCTAACACTAACTCTATAGTATTGTTAGTTAATATTACTTAGTACTTAGTGTAAATGTATTACACTGTATTTACATTATAACAAAGAGTCAAATCAAGGGTATCTTTTTAACATGACAAACATCTAGCAGATTCTAAGATTAGTAAACATAAGCAGTGTACATTTCTATGCCCTCATGCTTGTTTCTAAGAATGACAAAGTTTTCCCTCTACATCTTCCTAAACTCTCTTTGACGTTGTCAAAATCAGGCTTTTTTTAGATTTCGAGAGAGAGTAACGGTCTATTCCATGAAGACAGAGGTCAAAGTGCACCCCGATGTCGAATGCATTACTCACTTAAACCGCTACTTTGTTCTTCCAAATAGTCTGCGTGCTCCAAGAGATACTGAACTGAGCTTTAACCCTGAGACCCTGATATTTGCTCAGAACATAAATACACCACTTATAACTGGAAGACAGGCAATTAGGCAGCGTCTGCCTTTTCAAAATGAAAAGTAAACTCGATTTACAGAGAAAATAGTTCTGTAAACTGCACAAACCAATGCTAACAAAAGGTCAAAATTAGCATTCCGCATTAGAGAGAACAGAGCGAAAAATGAATAAGAAATGTCGAGACTTCGCTGTTCATATGCGCACTGCTGAATATTTATGACACTTAAAGCTCATCCAATTAACTATTTAAATGATTAATATTCATGCAGTCATACATATGCATACTCTCATTGTTGTGCTCTATAGGTGTGGAGAGTCGCAGACGTTGGTTCAGTCATAATGACACTTGAAAGAAAGGGTTTTTGTTTGGCGTCTGGTGAAAGCTGAAGTTCTTCGATAAGCTCTTCCCCATTACTGACGAGATAATGAGACTCTTAAAGGTTTCCAACACGCATAACCCAGTGTAAGTCTATCTCTGTCTGTGATTAAGATCCAATTTAGACAACGGAAATAGGCCACAAACATTTACGTGCAAAACGCCAGTCAAAGAAAAACAAACACAAAGAATATAATCCGCAAGAAAGTGGCCTCACATTAAGTTCCCAGATAACAAATTTATGTCCTAAAAAGTATTTCCTTTTGGTTGTAAGAATATTAAAATCTCTATTTAAAAAAAAGAAAAAAAAGAAAGTGACTATAATGCTATCTAAAGGTTAGGTAACATTCCTTATACAACGTTCTTTTGCATTTACAATGTTGTAAGAAGGTTGATTTGTAATGTTCTTCATGTTGCTGAAACTACTTCATGTTTAAAAGCGTGATGTTTAAATTTTATCACATTCTACTCAAAATACTAGTACAGTAGTATTCATACGTGCAAATGTCACTGACAGAACTCATTTTGTTTCAGCTAGTTGCCAAGAGAACATGTATCATTTTCATATATTTAACTTGATGTACTAATATAACTAAAACCGAAAAAAAAAAAATGAATTAAAACATATAGAAATGACAAAACACACAAAAAATTGCTAAAACTTTAACTAAAATTTTAAACAGAAAATATATTTAAAAAAAAAACTAATTCAAAAATATGTACATAAAAAGAACCTTAATTGTACCGAAACAATAATATATATACAAAAATATATATAAAAAGATAATCTACCAGGTGAAAATCCATTTGCAAAGTAATAGACGTCTTCTCAACAAATTACATAATTGTCCTCACACAAACAGTGCAGATCGAGTTATGTGCCAATTCGAAAAGACGTTTAACACTTAAGTTTACTTAATATTATTTTAACGTAACATTAACGTTCTGCATTTCATTCCCTAATGAAAAGTTTCCAATGAGCCAAACATTCCCTAATGAAAAATAAAGTAAACAATTAACAGGTACATTTAGAGCAAGAATGTTTAGTCAAGCTTTAACCGAGAATCTAGGCTTGCTCTGCAACATCTGCTGTAGCGAGCCACTACTCTTGTGTGGTCAGATCCAACTCAACAGATCCATTCAGGTGGAACAGTGGAGCTCTGTTCCTGTCCTCCTCAAGACTGAGCACATCAGTGGGTATACAGCACACCTCCGTCTGGCTTTTAATCACAATGCCATGAAAACACTTTGTGACCACTGTGGCGGAAAAAAGGTTGTTGGTGTAGTCACAATAATCATTTTTTGTCACACTTGTGCCATTCAACCACGCACTGAGCAATGAACTCAAGTGTGCAATTGAAATCTGAAAGCCCCTTTGAGAACAGCTTATTTTTCTCTCAGTGTTCATAATGCAGTGTATATTTACTTGAATGTTTCAGTCGATCATTTTAAAAGCCATTGTTATTTTCATTTATAGATCATTTTATTTGGGTGAAGGTGAACACGAAAGAGCACGTCAGTCACTTACATCTGGTAACGACTCCCTCCAGTCGGATGATGTTGGGGTGGTCGAACTGTCCCATGATGCTGGCCTCGCTCAGGAAATCCCGCCTCTGCTTTTCGGAGTATCCTGCTTTCAGACTTTTGATGGCCACGTAGATTTCTCTCTTGCTGGGGAGCTTCAGACGGCCACTGCAAACCTCACCAAACTCACCTAGGGACCGACACACAGCTTCCATCAGTGTCAGACTATGACAGATTTTTGGAGGAAATATGCATAAATAATGTCCACTTGACTGACTTTGGGCACTGATTTTAGAACTCTGACTAAGATATTAAAATAAATTTATATTTCTTTATTTTAGCTTAATTTTTCTAATTATTGTTTTTTGTCATAAATATAACAACATTTTAAAAATATGTAAACAATTATATTACATTTAAGGATGTCTCTATCTATCTATCTATCTATCTATCTATCTATCTATCTATCTATCTATCTATCTATCTATCTATCTATCTATCTATCTATCTATCTATCTATCTATCTATCTATCTATCTATCTATCTATCTACATCCACCATCCATCCATCCATCCATCCATCCATCCATCCATCCATCGATTTGATGTTTTAATTTGACACGGAGAGAGTTTGGGGAAAGCTGTGCTATGTGGTGGATAACATATCAGCCAAACAAGTCGGGTTAAACGTATATTCTGTTCTCACACAAACAATCTAAAAACATTTCTAGATGGAATTGTTTCAGATCTCCAAAATCCCTAAAGAAAGAACTCCGATGAACACTATTGCAGCCAGACGGAGAGAAAGAGGAAATGAGACAGAGAAAGAATGAAAGAAGCACAAAATACACATTTTTTTTTTTAAATGGAGAAGCAGACATTCACTCACAGAGGAACCATACGCAGAGGAAAATGAGATTTCAAATTCAAAGGCAAGTTCAGACGCAGAGATATGCGGTATTAATAGGTCAGTGTTTCAAACAGGAGCTTTGTGTGGGAGGATTACAGTCGGCAGACGTTGGATAATTAGGGCTCAAATACAAATCTCTATTCTTTGACATACGTTATCAAAGAACTGCAACTTACGCCCTGAAAACTTTCAGAAAAAGGTTTTATGAAGAACAAACCCTAGTATGTAAGTAGCGACATTTCTATAATGTATATTTATGATTCAAAGTGATTTAATTTCCACGATTTGGTCAACAGAAGAGTCAGACTCTCACCTGCACCTATAACTCTCTCTATACGTATATTAGAGGCATCGATTTCCTTGGCAAAATCTCGGACGGCTTGATTTGGGTCCTCATAAGTGTGGGGGTGAATGTACGTCCTGCTTCCTGGCAGTTTCACTGCAATAAGAAGAAGAAAAATGATCACATATGTTTTTCACACAGGGATTTTGAGTCCAAAAGAAAGCCAAGACACGACTGGACCGTAAACCCAAACGGTCTCCTAAAAATGTTGGAAAAGATAAACTCCACAGTGAGGTTGAGCATGAGAGTTTTTGATTTATATCCCACTCTCAATCCTGGAAGAGAGACCTTTTACATTTATGTTACCTCTAAAAACAACCATTTGTTTTGACAATCCATTATGTATGAGTGTTTTGTGTGTTTGTGTGCAAGCTATTTTGGCCACCTTACCTCTCCCGTTCTGAAACTGCATTTTTTCTTCATCTGGATCTTGCTTCGCTTTGATATAGCCACAATGTCTGAAATGCATAAAAAAAGATAAAAAACATCACATATAAAAAGGTGTATTTTATAAACCAGCCATAAAATTGCCATTCAGGACTCGAGAGTGAGGAAAAGATTACGATTATTTCCATGCTGCTGAAGGAGATGAAGTTTCCTTCATATAATAGACTCAGCTGTAACATTAATCACTGTTTTCCAGTCTGTATATACTTTAAAGTCACCATGAAATAATAACTCAAGATTCTTATATTTCTACAGAATGCAGCATTCCTGCTTCCATTTACAGTTAGAAACGCCCAACTTCCTACGATCCAATCAATTCCCGTAAGACGAAATCAAACCCGCCCTACATTTTTTTTTCTCATTCCAGAAGCCGCTTCAATCGCTGTATATACATCACAGTAGGGAAGAAAAGACTATCAAAACGTTCCTTTCATGAGGCTGAATGCGTTTGAATGAGTTTGTCACCTAAAACATGAATAAAAGTGTTAAAGAGTTTGAATAAGTGTATGCCCTGATAAAAGTTTGTCTTTGCATGTATATGTGTGTGTGTGTGTTGAGCACACTAGCAGATCTGTGAGTAGTCTCCGAGGGCACGTTGGAATGTCTAAAAATACCCACTGGTGTTCTGGGTCTCCGTGGGTATGATTCTGAAACCGTCTGCCTTCGCCTGCAGCAATATAGTGCAACATACCCAGTATAAAAGCTCCTGGAACATTTTAATCATCACAGTCATTTGTCAACTAATAGCTTTTGCAGTTTACGCAAAACAACAACAACAACAACAACAAAAGTTCCCTGAAGTGTGTTTCCTGAAGGCACGTGTTAATGAAATTATAATAGCAGTTTCAAATTTTAAAGTGAACAAGTTTACCTTTTTATACAATCCTTGCTAATCCTAAACATGTTTGTCTTGGTGTATGTGATGGAAGCTTGAATATGAGACTAAGCAAGCTCAAAATTCCCTTGTGAAATCAGGAGGCTTACATTTAATATAGAATAAAAATAAAGGGGTGGTCGAGGATTGATGTGGTAAATAAAGAAATAAAAGGTAAAAAGAAGGGTGCCAGTAGTTAAAATAATAAAATAAATTAAATTGAATTAAAAAAAGTTTGACATAATTTATATATATATATATATATATATATATATATATATTGTTCCTTCCTATGGTTCCTATATAAATCCTTCACCTTTCAATTAGTTAGGAGAAATTCTTTAAAAATACTGCTGGAGGTGTTACCACTATGTACGCCAAAAGAACTGACTTTCCTTGTGTCTAATATGTCTAGAAACCCATTTATTTTCCTCCGTACCTTACAGCAGGTCATGAGAATGCTTGACTGAAGATCTTCTTGAACCGAAACAGCCTCCGCATCTTCCCACATGTAACTGCCTAATCTTTTATGCTCCTTTGCAAACAGCATTACGCTTTAATGAGCGAAGCTATGAGGGAATTACATTTCCTTTCTTCAGGTTCTCTTCTCCCCTGTTCCTAAGCCTAAACTCCCCTTGGTAATTTGTCTCAAAGTAAGAATCACTCATGACAGCTAATCTGAGACGGAAATGTAGAACTCTCTCATTACAATCAAGGACTAGTACATTTTAAAATCATATTTTGATTATAATTGGTTTGGGGAGAGTTCCAAGGCTCCCGTAATAAGCGTGCTCTCCGTTCGGTGCGGCGAGGGAGCGGCCGAGCCTGTGATAAGAGTCGGCAGAAGGGAGACAGATGAGCTGGAGGCTTAATTTGGCAGTAATGATGAGGAGAGGGGCCGCCCATGCCAGGGTCACAGGAGCCCAGCCATGGCCAGTTGGCAGGCTGAAGCTGCGATTGTGTGATTGATTCAGTCTTTGGCAAGCACACCTCACTCACACACACATACATGTGTATACACCACATAGTGAAGTCGATTCCCAGTGTTCATCATGCTCCATCACTTCTGTTTGATGCAGATTTTATTTGGCTGAATCAAACACAAGCTTGTCATCATGTAAACGCCACTAATTGGCTGGACGGATGGATCCCCCTGTGCACATGTGTGTGTGTGACTGTGGAAACCTCGACTCTTCTTCTCATTGTCTGGGGTGGTGATGGCGCAGTGGATAAGACACATGCCTTTGGTGTGAGAGACCCGGGTTTGAATCCACTGCGAGACACCAATGTGTCCCTGAGCAAGACACTTAACCCCTAGTTGCTCCAGAGGCGTGCGACCTCTGACATATATAGCAATTGTAAGTCGCTTGGGATAAAAGTGTCAGCTAAATGAATAAATGTAAATGTAAAAAAAAAAAAAAGAAGAAAAATGTGTAAAATAAACAAGAACATCAAAGGTCATCAAAACACGCCATTCATTACAGTAAGATTGTAACTTTCTCATGTTGTTTTATGAATGCAATCTGAAAAATTTGAAAATATCAGCAAAGATAACAGCTGTTTATTATTATAGCACTAAGCTATGCTGTCAGGTATGTGACAAGTGCACACTAAAATACTGTGAGTGTGTGTTGTGACACTGATTTTGCATACATTTTTCCAACGTTTTGTTAGGTTGATTATTAGGGCTGGGTATTGAGACAGATTTCACAATTCGATTCGATTTCGATTCACAAGCTTGCAATTTGATTCGATTTCAATTCGATTCAATATCGGTTATTTTGGATATCAGTAACAATAAATGGCCATTTTTCTCAAATTGCGATTTTTTTTTTTTTTGGATGCGCAATGCAATGTCCCATTCATTCAAATGAAACAGGATGACTAATCGATTCTTGAGATTTAAGAATCGACATCGGTTCGTAAAAAGGAGAATCGATTAATATCGAGAAATCGATATTTATTACCCAGCCCTACTAATTATACCATCATCCATTTACAGAAATGCTTAAAAGTACAACAGTTATATCTACAGCACTCTAACATCTTACTTTCTGAAATAAAGGTATTTTACCATGTCATTTTATAGGTTGTCATGAGTTTAGATAGAAAGATATTAGATGGATGAATATATGATAGAGAGACAGCCATTGGGGATAGATAGATAGATAAATAGATAGATAGATAGATAGATAGATAGATAGATAGATAGATAGATAGATAGATAGATAGATAGATAGATAGATAGATAGATAGATAGATAGATACTGTAGATAGATAGCTAGATAGCTAGATGGATAGATGGATAGATGGATAGATGGATAGATGGATAGATGGATAGATAGATAGATAGATAGATAGATAGATAGATAGATAGATAGATAGATAGATAGATAGATAGATAGATAGATAGATAGATAGATAGATAGATAGATAGATAGATAGATAGATAGATAGATAGATGGATAGATAGATGGATGGATTAGATGAAATTGTGCGGATTCTATGCTGCATACGTCAATGGGAAAGATACATTTCCATTACGTAGTGTGTATGCGGATATTGAGGAGCACAAATCTTCTGAATCTGTTCTCACTGTACGTCTGTATGGCTGACAGGCCTCTCAGGAATCTAATGAGAAAAAGAGTATCTTGTATTGACAAAACGTCTCTCCTTGACGAACAAAGCAGTGAGCATCATCCTGATGAACGACTCCAATCTTCCAGTGTTCCTCCAATAAATGAGCTAGTGCTGCTTGCTTTTGTTCAGCATGGTCTCTGCTCTCTCAGTACGGCCTGAACACCATGAGGACAAATCACTTTGTGTTGCCTAATGCACTCTCGCTCTCTTTCTCCAGAACATTCTGCCCCACAGAGGAGACAGATATGAGATATTCGGTTAGGCTGGTCCTGCTATTGTACTCTGCTGACAGGAGGGGAAAAAAGCTGTTCTCGCTCTATGTGAAGGTCTAGCATATTTCAGGTTCATATTTCCTTATTCTCTGAGTCGCGCACTCAATTTACATATCAATTTACCTTCCTGGTCTAATATGCTGTCACATGAGCACCGTTTTTCACAACGGCTGTCGTGCAGACCATACCATTGTTTCTATAAAGAATAGTCACCTAAATATGCAAATTCTGTCATCATTTATTCTCCCTAATGTCATTCCAAACCAGTATGACTGTCTTACTTCCATGAGGCACAAAAATGAGGCCAGTCTTTTGCCAAAATACACAAACACACACACAAAGAAGAATAAAATCACTCTCCCGAAGCTATAGCTTTGTGTGATGAACATATCAAAATGGTGTATCAAAATCTGGACATCCAACCAAATTCTCATTGACATGTTAATATTACAAGTAAGAATTTCAGAATAATGAACTAATAATGTTTTTTTGAGAATTGATCTTTTCCTGATGTGTAAAAGAGTACCTGGAAACCACAATTGAGTAAAAGTACAGATACCTTGCAGCGGAAACAACTAGTTACAAGTCACCAATTCCAATATGATTTGAGTAAAAAAAGAGTATTTGATTTTAACAGCATTTAAGCATTTTACTCATACTGAATGTAAGGTCAAAATATGCACTAGTCCTCAACACCTAAGATACATACCAGCAAAAATAAGAAACAGTTGATATTTTCTAAAATCAAAATACAACTGCACACCTCAAAGTTACAATATACCAAGGAAGACACAACAGCCTCAGTCAAGCTCAAGTGCATCAAGTAAAACAACATCCTTCAAAATGGTCTTGTCAACATAGCAGCTAAATAAAATAATGTTAAGTAAATTTAAATAATCAAAGTCTACTTGCACTGCATGTTCTGGTTTCATCAGCGAATGCATGCATGACTTCATCTCCTAAATCAAACTCCTGAGATTCAGCAACTACAGTACCTGCTAATGCACTTACATTCACGTAAAGTAGCCTTGTTTGCAAGTTTGGGTGAAAGTTAGGTGCCATGCAAATTACTCAGTAAAACTACAAAGTAGCCCAAAAGATACTCAAGTACTTTAGTAACTAATTACAAGAAATACATTACACATACTGATGCATTAAACTGATCAAGTGACAGTAAAAATATTTAAAATGTTACCAAAAAACAAACAAAAATGCTTTTCTTTTG